TGTTGAAAAGTGGGAGCCCATCCATATTTATACACAAGCTTATCTTCAAATTGGAATTCAAATTGGCAAATATCATCTCCAAATTACTTCTGACCCCATTATACCTAATATTTCAATATTTCTGTTAAGAATGTTCCATTTGTGAAAAAATATATCAATTATTCACCATAGTTTTCCATTATTAAGCGTTGAGAGTTCTACACGTCTTTGTGTTTGAAATAATGAACGGCTATCTTTCGGCAACCACATTAAACCAAAATTGAATAGAATTTTCAGTAAAGCTGTGACGGCGCGTTTAGAAATATTATATTCCAGCGCCCAACGCCGTAATCGTTCACGAGATCCACTTTTAATGTCATCGTGTGTTTGATTTTGCGAGAGCGATAACTTTGGACACTGTTTTACAAGAGAACTGGCCTGACTCATATTTCGAATTGAATCTTTTATTAAAATTTTATTCCACTCGCGGTGAAAATTAACACGAATGCGATTTTGTTTCGCAATTTTGGTATTTCTTAATGTTTTCGCCATCTAAAACTACAATTATTTCTATGAGAAACTATGAAAAAATGACAGCTCATTTGCAGTACAATAACACATGAAAATTGTGATTTGGTTTTTTTTTGCTTTCTTTCCACTTTCGTATTTCACACTCTTTTTTCTACTTCACTGGAACAAATTTCTTTTTAGAATAGTCACGCACTTTATGTGTATAGAATGCGCCATAAATAGCCTTGGTTTGTGTGAGTGACTCAGTTCTCTATGATAAAGTGGTGCGGGCAATGATAAAGTGGTGCGGACAATGTCAAAGTGTGAGTAGAAAAAAGACATCTCAGTAATTGACAAACTGACAAAGAAAGATGAATTACGGCAAAGCATTTTTAATGCCGAGTTGTTTAAACGCCGAATGAATAAAGCGTGTGTGTCATGACCTATTATGCTGAAGAAGAAAAAAAAGGTAGTCAAACACTGAATTGAAGAGAACGAATCATAGAACTTTGTTTCCATTTTTATTTTTATTACTAAAATTCAATTCCAACATAAATCAGTTCTTATGTAATCAAATGACTTTACAATAACACTTTTTCAACAAAATTTCGGCTATTATTGAACGAAATATATAAATGACGATGGCTATATGGCTCTGAAAACACTAAAGACAAGTAACAATAACAAGTAAGTTAACAAAGAAACGTTTGGTTTGAAACTGCCTCATTTTAAAAACCCAACTATCATTTGTCCTGTCACGTCATGTCTGTTCTTTTCCACTTTGGAGAGACCAACTGAAACATCGAATAAAATATGTGGACTGATTTCTGCAATGCTTTCATAATGATTGCGGTGGTCCTGTGGTTTGTCTGGTAAGTGACTAAGCCGATATGCTATGGCTACAGTACGATGATAGTCTGGATTAAAGTCAAAGAAAAAACGACACGTATCGGCTTCCGCAAAGACAATGATGTTTACTTGGTGTAATTCTGATATCGCTTTGATTGATTCGGCACTACCCCAAGTGTTTTCTTTACTCAACTCGTTCGTCACAAAATCACGGGCTTGTTTGTTTATGTCTTCACTCAGAACTAAACCATTTCCGTCATTTTCCTCATACAGCCGTCCGATGATTTGAAATTTGAACAGATCAAAGTTTTCATCGATATGCTTCACGACAGCAACTCGTAGCTCTTTCGCGGCTGTCTGATGTTTCTTTGTTCCTGGTTTGAATCCAAAAATTTGGTGTGAAAGTGAAGAGAACAAGCAATTTCCATCTCCCACGATTTTGATTGTGTCAATAAGACGATCGTACGCGTTCAATTTGAATCGGATTGATTCGAGTTTCAATACTTTGTGCGATTTCATTGCAGACTTCAACCATTCATTCTGTGCAATTATTTGATCCATGATCAATGCCGTAAAAAAATCTTGAGTACGCATCACTTCAGATTCTTCATCCGCATGATCGGCGATATCCTCTTCTTCGGCAAACGCATCAGATAACGGTTTCTCTGCAGCGATGAATTCATTTTCTGGTTCGAATTGATGTACAGGTTCAGTTTGCTTCTCTTTGGCGCGCTTTGAATCATCACTGTTGGTTGCACTTTTCGCTGACGTACGATGTTTATTCAGATGCTTTATGAAATTTGACGTATTCCAATAATAGCACGAATTGCTACGAGATTGTTCGTATTGAATGCAAATATTTTTCGCCTTATTCTCTTCTGCACAAAGTTGGCAAGCTACGTGAGCAAACATTTTCGCACCGTCACTTTTGAAGATCATATTTTGTTCCGTTGCAGTGACTTGAAATCGCTGCAAAATTGGGCTGAGAAGCTGAAGCAGTTTGGATTTTGCATCAATCAAAAGGCTTTCTGGAGTCCGATTGTCAGATTTTGTTGGTGCCAATTCGCTCGGTGTGAAATCTTCCGGCACCGAATCTTCCGTTGTCAAATTGTTTGAAGTAAACTCGATTTGTGTTGAATCGCTCTCCATCGATTCTAATTGAGTTGAATTTGCCTGCTTCAAATTATCCAACATCAAATTGCTTTGTGTGCGAGTCTTAGTTCCAAACAAATAACCAATCGATGAACGAACAACATTTTTTCGTGGCACTTTGTAGTCTCCTGGAATGTTGTAATAATCTTTGCTGCGACTTTTCACCTCCGAAGCAAGTTTTTCCATGTCGCTGCGGTGGCCGGGAAAGAATGCAAAATTGCCGATATTCATTCCATAAAACCCAAAAACGTTAATGGCATCAACGCGTTCGAGCACACTTGATTTAAACGAATCGTCTTCCATGAAAGTGGGGAATTTTTCTCTGACCGTATTCTCGAGCTCTGCAATTTTGTTGTTGTCAAGACATTCAATTGTACCAGGATTCGAATAGCCACAAATACTAGAAAGATAAAGATATTTGAAGTTTTGTACGAACAATCCACTTGCACATTTATTCCCTGACGAATTATTCTTTAATAAAGAACTCACTTCAAGATATTTTTAACGTAATTTGGAAATGTGACATTCATGTCCTTTTCCAAAACCGACCAGAAATAAATAGAATTCTCAGTGATGTTCATTTTTACTCTAACTATATAAGTTTACGTGTAACTCGAATGATTCCCCAATGCCATTTGGTTTAGCGCCAATATGAAGCATCAAAACAAAAAAGCACTGTTACAAATATTCCAATATTTCTGTATCTGCTATATAAAAACTTACTTCCAGTCCCACATTTTCGATAGATTTGCGTAAACATCAGATAAAAATGTCCAAAAACGAAGATTTATTTATCAGTTCCAGGCGCAACCGGCTTTGAAGTGACGTTTTGTTAGACAGCAGATTGACTATAGTACGAAAAGTACTGAAAACGCAATGAATACACAGACACACTGTACCGAAAGAGTTCGACAAAAACTGAACGGAGACATACGTTCGGTTCTCTCTTTCTCGCTCTCTTTGCTTCAATGGTCGCGAAATATTGTCTCACTTAGCTGAATCGTCACACTGAGCTGAAGCGCATTGAAGCATAGAGAGCGAGAGAGAGAATAGAACGTTCAGTATTTGCATTTATGTATTCACTGCTTTCGGTACATTCTTCAGTACCTATGACTTCATTTCAATACTTCGCCTATTTCTTCAATACAAATAGCTATATTGATTGCTCTGCTTAAATTTATGATTTTTCAGCATGGAGAAAGAATTTTTTAAATAAAAGATCGGTGATAAATTGTTTCTGAACGAACTAACATCGTTGTTTAACCAAAGCATTTTGATTTCATTGTATTTGTGCATGTGACAGCTCACTGTCAGCTCTCTGGAATCGATTTTTATTTCTCATTCTCTTTCTCTCTCGTCGTTGTTGAGAAACTGATTTTCTTTAGCTGGAACAAATCTATTTTTAGCACACTCACACGCTTTGTGTGTATACAATGGGCTATAAATAGCCTTGGTCCGTTGCAAATGACTCAGTTCTGTGTGATAAAATGGTGCGAACAGGTTCAAGGTCAAGTGTAAGCAGCAAACCCGTGAGAAAAACTGTGAAAGTGACTGACCAAAAAAACGAGAAACCAACGAAAAAATCGCAAATTCGATCGAAAAATCAATACCATAATCAATTGACTGATGGAAAATTAGTTGAAACTGAAAAGGCATCGACTTTAAAATCAAGCGTTTCGTCTAAAACATCTGATACTTTTGAGCCAAGAACCACGCGGTCGCAAACCAAAAAAACACGTGTGAGTGAGCAATTATCACCACCAAAATCACATTCATCAAATAAAGTATCCTTTGAAGTTGAAACAAAATATACGCGATCAGAAGCCAATCAATCACTTAATATAAGAATATCGGAAAAAATTGTGCCAAGAGTAACGCGGTCCAAAGAAAAAAAAATCGTTGTCAATAAAAAAGAAGAAACAGTGTTTGAAAAATCAATCGTGTTCGACAAAAAAAGTAATTCGGTCGCCGTTAAACGCGCAGAGTTCGTTAAGTTGCCAAATTATGATGTTGATGCAATTGTGTTAGCCAAACAGAAATACTCGATTCCGTGGCCGGCACGCATTTTGAAAAAAGAAAAAGACAAAATTCGCGTATATTTTTTTGGTGATAAACGTGAAGGATTTGTGAGTTTATTCGAGGTATACGATTTCAACAAATCAGCTGATGCCATTCGAGACACGCTTCTATCGAAGAAACGGCCACGTGGATACGTAACGGGAATACGTGAAATAGAGCTATTATTGGAAATCCCAGAAGATCGATCGATAATCCACAACGTTTAAATTTCTTCCCATCGAATAATAAAGTTGAATTTATTTAAAAAGGTAATCAAAACTAAACGAATATAATCGTAATAAGTTGGGAATAAATCTAGGAAAAAATATGCGCAAAAACAATTGATATGTGAACATAAAATAACGGAACAGAAACGTGTACAAGATTTGTTATTTTTTACAGTTCAAAGTGCTTGCGAAAAATTCAATTTTAACACGAGGTGTGTTTTAATCATGGATGAAAATGATGCAAATGAATCTGTTAGTGCAGACGGTGACCGTGAGAATAACGAACGAATAAAAAAAAAACGAACTGCATCATCAAAGGTAAGTTTTGGTTTCTATTTCTATTTTTGAAGAATCATGCATTTTTAGTAAAAACATGTGGTTTTTTTTCCTTAGGGAGACGCTGGTGTTTCGGAGAAGCGGAAACGTGCCCAACCGAACAGGCTCGGAGTCGATAACGGTAATAAGGACCACTATTTTGCAGAAGACAATTTGCTTGATGATGACGAAGAATGGGGAACACAATCTTCCGGATCTGATTGGGAATGTGAATCTGAACCAAACGAGAGTGATTCATTCAAAGGCAATGAACTTTCGAAATCGGATTTCAATTTTTCAGTCAAACAGATTTCGCGAATTGAAGCCAAAATCAATCAAATTCAAGCAGTTGTTCTGCAAATTCAGCGGTTGTGCATTTCTTCAAAAGTTGGTCGTGAGTTTTCCGGTGTCCAAACAAGTTTTGATGAATTGCCATTGGGGACTGTATCATCTTTAGACGAATTTAATGCCAAATTGGATGAGTCATCCTTTCGGAAGCAGGCTGTAAGTGTAGTGGATTGTTTTCGTTTTTTCAAAATTATTTCGTAATTCCAGATCAATATGACACAATTTTTTGAATTATTTTTTTTTCAGTTCGAGCATTTGGCAATGATAAATGGCGTTTGTGGTGATAAAACCGGATCGAAAATTATTCGGTCAATTGTATTTGCGACGGTTTCTCGAAACATTCTCGCTCAATACACTTGGACGGGAAAATCAAGTAAACAGAACACCAAATTGGACTTCGTTTCAAAGAAAAATATGATTCAATTGTTCTTTGATGTCGTACGAGTATACGACCCACGATACACGAGAGCTGAATGCGAAGACGATCTTAAATACAAAATTTTCAAATACGTCTACAAACAGTGAGTTGCATTTCTTTAGACTTTTTATTGCACCATTTTTCAATGAAGTTTGTTTCACATTTGTTTTGATTTTTTTTCATATTTCAACAGAGTAGCGCCTTCGACACTAGTGGTAACGAATACAGAAAATTCAGTACCACAGTAAGTACTTCGTTCTGACTTGAATAAAATGAAATGAATCGAAAAATTGCTGTTTTTAGTGTAATGTTTTCGGATAATGTTTTATTCCAGGTCATCAACACAAAATCCCCCTCCAAACGCATCACCAACCGATCCGCAATACACCACCTTGCAACCAAGACAAAATGTCGACCCGCATCAAATGCATCCATATGCATATCCACCTCCATATGCCCAGCAACATCTCACTGGATCTCAACATGCACCCCCCAATCCAGCTCAGCATGCAATTGTCACTGGATCTCAACATGCACCCCCCAATCCAGCTCAGCATGCAATTGTCACTGGATCTCAACATGCACCCCCCAATGGACCTCCGCCTGGAACATTCGCACCATACACCAATTATACATATTCGTATTAATTGCACCTCAAGTGTTTAACTTAGATGAAAAAACCTTTTGATACACCTTCATTTTTTGATGATAATTTGAAGTATTTAATACCAAATTCAATTTTTTCATACCCAATTGTTTTAATGCAACCAAAGCAACAAACATCTGTAGAGAAAATTGACTTCTGAAATTCCTATATATACTACATAGTCCATGGAATGTGTTATATATTGTAATGTCTTTTGCTATTTTATACCAATTTCAAATTCATTTTTTGGACTAATTTGCTAGAACAAAATTACTCTAAATCCAAATGCAGCGATATCAAAATGAAAGATTTCAAGTTAAACATTTAACGTACAATTACCTCGAAGAAATATGTTGCAATTGACAATCACAGAATTTTGTTTCCATTTTTATTTACATTACTATTGTTTCACTTCGAATTGAAATAAGTTCATATGCAATTTTTTAAAAATAAAATGTACGTACACAATATATAGTCATGACAGATGTTTGGAGTTTTCCTAATCGATAATTGAAATTTCATTATTTTCACTTGTTTTTTTTTGTTTTTCTTCTTTGAGGAACCAATTTTCAGGCAAACTCGGTAACACTACCGAGCTGTACGAGACACCATAAGACGAATCCAAATAAGTAGAAAATAAGTCGCACATCCATTCCAATTCAATTGGAATTTCTTTTAGTTTTTGCATTAATCGAAATGCCAGAGTCACTACGATATATCCTGATCTATCTATCTAGTACTGATGAATTTTTGCCCTTTATCAAACAATTTGATATCAGACTATTAAAATATTGCATGCTCATGAACAAAAATCAAAGTAGATCGTACGAAAGGGATTTCCAATTCAATTTTCATGATTGTGCGTGTACAATATACATATGTATGCACACAATTTGCACGCATTCTGCATAAAAATAAGGAAAAATGTATTGAATATGGGCACAAATTGTACATATAAGCATATAAATTATGCACAGAATTATACAGATTTTTTTTTCTAAGTTCATCAAAAACGTGTCATATTTATACACAATATGTGTAAGCTTCGAATGCACGTACATGGTTCATTGGG